TCAAATATAAAGGCCCAAGACTCTAACTGTGACTTACTTGGTTGTGTGTTAGTAACTTCAAGGATGTCAACGTAAGCAAGAATGCATAGAACCATGTCCTGGGCACCAGCAGTGCTGGAAGTCTCCGCAGTGTGCCCTTGGCCTTCGCTGTGGTACAGTGAGCTGGGTGTCCTATAACCTGACAGGGTTTTGGTCTTCATCTGAAAGCACTCCCTCCCCTCATTCAGAATACAAAGCCTGCCCCGCCCACCTCCTACCTCTGCAAAAGAGGCAGACCTGCCAGCTGTTGGCCACTCCAGTTCTGCCAGCTGAGTCTGGCCTGGGCAGGGCTCACCCTACCTCACGTGAAGGCTGGGTCTGCTTTGGACCCAGAGCCCCGCAGCCAGGTCCCAGGAATGCTCACCAGGAAAGCAGAAGGCTAGAATTCAGCATTGGGCATCACAAATGCAAGAACATGAAGCGTAATCGCTCATTTCCCTCTCAAACAAATACATTTGTTTATGACTCTGATTTCTTAAGTCCTCAGAAAGGCGCATCTCAAGTACTTTTGGCCTTTAATGCTCCTTTAAAAAATCCCTAATAACAACATCATGTGCTTCACAAAAACAGGCCATGTAATTTATTCAGGAAAATTAAAACCAGTAATCTGTATAAAGATTTTTTTCCCCTGCTCATGCTTCAAAAACTTAAAAAAAGACAGAAAGAAAAAAAATCTGCATATGAAAACAAAGCCGCTAAAGTGAATTACAATTCCACAAAATCAAGCTAAAAGTAGCCATTTTTCTTCTTACTCCTTTACTGACAAAAGACAGAGATGCAGAGATTCTTACCAGTTGGACAAGAAAGAAAATGCTCCTCTTGGAGGGCCCAAGAGGATGTGCATATTTTTATTTTTGTTATAATCTACAATAACTTTATCTATAAATCCTGAGTAAGAAATGTCCAGAACAACCACACTTCACAAGCTTTTCTGGGGAAGAGACATCCGCATAGCAACAGCCTTGCTATGGGAAACATTAATGCTTTTTATATTGGTAATCATCTGTAACACGAGCAATTAAGTACAGTACTAATGGACTATGGCCAGGAGCCTGGTACTAATATTAAAAACTGACAGAGATGAATAGGTTTGGGCGCAAAACCAGGCTGACAAAGACATTTTTATGAAGTGCTTGGACCTATTTGATTTAAACCAATCAGAGTCAACTTTGGACGAGTCAGGCCTTCAGCGACAACGATGCAGTTGCTGCATTGTACCATTTCTGCTCTGCCTTAAATAAAAACACCCATTGATTCTTTTCAACAGCCCACACTTTCATTATTGCGCTCATTAATAAACCAAAAGTACCCAACTAATATACAAGTAACATTTACTGAGGGACTGGAGACTTTTTTCATGTAGTAAATGAAAACATTTACTGGAATCATGAACCACACTACATGAAAAATACATCAGCTAGATAATGTATAGGAGATCCCTCGTTTCTTTTTCATTTTCTAGGAAAGCAAAGCTGGGGGGAGGGAGCAAGGCAAGGCACAAACCTCGGCCACAGAATGGAGAGGAGAAATCAGCAGCCGATGGATCGCTGTAACCTACATTTAGAAGAACTGAAGTATATCTAGACTAGGTGTCTGGCTGCGAGGTCCTGACCCTTCGCAATCTCTTGAGGCTTTTTGAAAATGGTGTGGTCTCATCCCTCCGCTCCTTTCTGCTTTGCCTGTGCCCTGACTGAGACCAGCGACCAAGGATGAAATAGGTCACCATCACTTTCAAGAGTTCAGATCCTTCTTTGCTCTGTTTCTAGACAGATCCGAGCTTCCTGTCTTTCTCTAGAATTAAAAAGGAACTGATTGGAGCAGCAGGTCCCAGCCTCTCCTCTTCACCACAGCATAGGACTTATGGTGAATTCTTAAAGGCCATGATTGGTTTGAAGGATTAAAAGTCACATTATTTTAATTACAGTCTAATTAAAAAAAAATAAGTCAATGATTTTCAAATTTTTGTAGTTAGCTACGACTAATAACTAATTATTCACAGCATCCCTTGTATTTAATAACAAGGTCATGGCGGTCCAGAGAGCAAGCAGAAAGGCCACGGAAATGCTCAGAGCTTGCGGATCCCGACACCTCCACGCTCCTGCCTGTGGGCTCTGCGTCACACTGATGGTCAGCCACAGTGTGGGGCTCTCTAGACTGGAGTCCCCATGTGGCACGGGAGTGATGCCTCTCAACTTTACTGTGCTGGTGACGCCAGGAGAGGGCCTCTTAAGTAACATGTCCTGTTGGGGTTCTGTAGATGGGGCATTCGGGAAGTCTGGGAAGCGGAAGGGGCCATTTGCTTTCTGTTTTCCTTGCTGTTCAGAGCAGTGTCAACCCAACAATAACTCAGCACAATAGCTGGCTGCAGCTTTAGTGTCTTGTAGTAATCCCAGGGCCGTTCTGATGGGCATCTTCTGAGATCCAGCAGCAGTGCTGCTTCTTCCTCAACAGAAGCCGGCTCCACCACGCTCGCTCCTGAGCGCGTGCAGGGCTAGACTCGTCCCCCTTTCCGGGGATCTGACGCCTGCCAGCCCTCAGAGCATACTCTTCATGTTTCTGGGTGGTGATACTAGCACCTCTCAACTCTCAGTCGTGGGGAAACTGAAGTTAGCTGAGTTCACTCAGCACGCTGAACCAATGCCTACACAGGCCATTCCTACAACACGTTCTCTCTGCTGATTCCATTTTCCTTACGGTATGCTGACTGACATACACCCACTAAACACATGGGAGACATGGGAAAATGTCATGGCTGTTCCAAACATGTAACCCAATGGGAGACATCTATGAAACAGATTCTTGGCTGACCCCAAGAAAAAGCAGGATACATTGTAAAAATTTGATTCAGTTGCTAAGATTTGCAGTGTCTTTACTAGAACTTCCCAATTTGAATGACTGAAGGGGTTGGAGAATCTGGTACTCCAGGAGGAGGTAAATCATGAAATAAAGAATACTGGCTTCGAAAGAGTATATCTTGGCATTTCATTTAAGATAAAGGTTACTTTTAGTTATATAACTTCTCAAGTAAATTAAGTGTTGTGTACACACACACACATAGAATCAGTTTTCTCCATCTTAGATCTTACCTACTTATTTTTTCACTATGTAGTGATTTGTTTTGATGACGGCATTCATCCTTCAACAGGGTGAGCTACTTCATGGTTAAAATACACTTCTTTTTTATTTTTATATATTTGGTACAAGGTCTCAATATGCAGCTGGGACTTGTAGTGATCCTCTTGTTTTTAGCTTCCACAGCACTGGAATTACAAGGTGCCACCACGCCCCAACTCAGTAACCAGCTCAGTGAGCCCAGGGTTGGGGCCAGCACGGCAAGTGCCGGAGATTGAACCCCGGTCCCTGTGTTTGGCTAAGCAGGTGCTTAGTCTGCTGAGCTATCTCATCGGCCCTGCTTTTTAAAATTTTATATGTTATCTGGACTGTTATTTGATGGTTTAGGTACTGAGGAGATCTGCATATGGAGGAAGGGGACTTCATTCTCAGAACTGAAGCTCACTGAAAACAGAGTATTTGTAATGGAAATGAAGACTTCACTCTGAAGTCAAAAGCAAGCAGACATTTATGGGACACTGACCGGAGAAGCTACTGTGCTAGGACATCACCACAGTATCTTTCAGGTACAATGACAATGTGTGAGCATTAAATACGGAGAAAAATGACACAGTATTTACATTTAGAAAATTTATGTACAGCATTGAAAAACAACGCTATAAAAAGCAATAATTTGAACATTTACTTTTTTTTTTTTTTTTAATCCTTCTGGATCTTAACAGTGCCCAAGTAATCCCTTGGGGGAAGAATGCTTTATGGGAACTTTCATGAGGTCCTAAATCTAACTCAACTGACTGATTATTCCTACGAAAGCATGCTACCTTTTGTTGAATGGCCATCCTAAAAGAGGATCTGCACTAAATTCAGCAAGGGTAAGAAGACACTGAACTTAAGGGACACGCGACTACCAACTGGTGTGTCAAAGGCATTCCCTGAAGGTGTGCACAGGTCACCCAAAGGTACGTCACCCAGCTATACTGGAGTTAAAATGGTAATTGGGGAGGAGAAGAGGAGCCAGAAAGCTATGTGTTTATTCTACCAGCAAGGGAGCTGGTCTGTCTGTTCAACTGACCAGCTGGGTCCTGACTTGCTTCCATGTGTGGCCACCAGCAAGACCATCTCCCTTACCCTCCCAGATGCTCTTCTGAACTCTGAATTGGAAGCCACAGTGCTGAGTCCACCACTGCTTTTGCAAGGAAGTGCCAGTCGAATGGATGCTGACACGACCAGGAGCAAGTGTGGGCTGGACGTGGGGATAGCACGTGGATCCCTTAACTGACCTTCAGTGGTTCAGCTAATAGTGTCCTAGTGTAAAGGGGAAGAGGCCTGTGGATGCAAACCTCATAGGAGGCCACTCTGGCACTCCGTCGGGAGTACATTATCATCAAGAGTTCTTGGGTCAAAGGCACAGCTGTGGGAGAAAAATATACTAAGCCAGGAAAAAAACAGGGCTTATCTGGGGCCAGTGCTGCTGTTACCAACAGTGTTTACATTGCAGTGTTAAAACAGGTACACACCAGCCTCATAGCAACCCTGCAGATGTCTGTTTGTCAGAAGCTGAACGATCTTATAGTAAATGAACCCAGAGGAAGAATCAAGGGTAGCCGATGCTGTGCAGAGGACATGTGGGGTGGGTGAGGCTGTAGTGGGAGTGTCCAACTGGTGGTCACAAGATGAAACTGAATTTAAGAAACAACCCAGTTTCTGCTCCTGTGACCAGAGAAAGTCATGTTCTCTAATACAAAGTAAAAGGCAAAATACAGTGGCAGGGAGAGCGCATGCTTCCTAAAAGGCTCTTTAGCTTTCCTCTGTCTTATCTTTGACCAAAAGCTTCTTCCAAAGAACATACATTTAATTAAGCAAAGACTTTCCAAGAAATAGCTTCTTACCTTTCATAATGCCTGCGGGTACAAGTGGCAGCACTGGTGCTCCCAGGATTACCGCCTAATTCATCATAAATATGTTTCCATTGGCGGCGGGCTGTTATCTGAAAAAATGGCAATGAGAAATTCAATCTAGCATCATAAGAGATTCACAGTGCCAGGTTCCCATACATATTCAACAGTCAGAAGAGAACAGTCTGTTCTGGAAACCCAGAATCAGAGAAGTCCAAACGAGTATATGGGGAGACTTATGGTTTTATAGTGAGATCTTATTTTACAATAAAAATGGAATTCAACTTTTGCTCTATATTTTGTCAACCTTCCTGTGTTTTCATCTACAGAACCTCCCTGGCTATTCATTCAGCTAGTTGCCCCCATAGTCCCAACCTCATATCCTATGTCTTTATGCCACATGGTAAAGAAGAAACATAAAGTCTCATTTCAGCTAAACTATATTTTGGTTCCTCAATTAAATCAATCAGAATTAACAATGGTTGCCTGAGGCTGAAGGAAGTGAGTAAACAGACACACAGGTCAAAAAAGGACTTTGCACCAAGCATGCTTTTGTATCTTCTGTTTTTGACTCACATGATATGTTATCTACTTTAAAAAATAAATAAAATTACAACATAGATTCATGAAAATGATCAAACTGCTTCAGGAATTTACAGTCATCTCAGGCTATGTTTTTGTGCTAGCTCCGCTAACCACCAAAACAAAGTCCAACTCTGAAACTGTATATGTCACAAGCTGTTTATTTTTATTCACTTAGGTCAGGAAAACAGGATATTGATGAAATCCCATGAAAACCAACATATCCCAAAGTTAAACTGCTCACTATGTACATTATTGAGTTGAGTAATAAAAACAAACAGCTTGCAATATACTGAACTGCACACTATGGTTTCGGTCTTTCTCTTTAATTTTATTTTTGTACATAAATTAGGATTTTTCAAAACAGCAGATGCGAGATCTGGCAGATGATAATTTCAAGGAAGTCACGTTACTACATCTGGGCGTCTAATGTTTCCTTGAAACGAAGAAGACAAGCTTGAGGTCCTCGTGGACCCTTCTCAGTGGGGTTTCGGGAATGCAGAAGGAACAGGGCACAGCTAAGGGGCCACGGGTACTTAATGAGATCAGGACAAGGGACTGCTGAAAAATAACTACAGAGCTTCCGGCTCAAGTCACAAGGGCCCAAGGTCACAACATGAGTAGGGGAAACTTTCAACATGCTGCTGGCTCTGTAATTGTAATACAAGGAGGAAGGGTCGAGGGGTGAAATCTGACGGGGTAAGTGGTCCCTCTTCCATCTCAGAGCCCTTCTGAAAAGCAGCTTTCACCTCCCCAAAGCGGCCTCTGCAGGCCCGGGAAGGATCTCCAGACAACGTTGGCTTTATGCTGCTCCATTTTCCGCAGAAGCATTCTTGAACCAATCGGCTTCAAAGGTTCTTATTCGACAGAGCTGCCTCTTGCCTCTACTAGCCAGGGTAACTGAGAATAATATCCTCCATAACTGTGGCATGGATTGGATTACATTCTAATAACTGTTCCAACCACTTTCAAAACACTCAAAACATGTATTCTGGTAAGTATCACACATTCGAGTCCAATATACCTCCAATATTTAAATACACACTCTTCGGTTGATCTATTCTGTTATCAGGGAAAAAGGAACACAAGCTTGACATACACCTTCTTGTGTCTCCCAGTCAGATGAGAGCCAAGGGTCTCAGGGTCACAAAAGGGCACAGAACAGCTAAAGTGTGTCCCTGAAGTCACTTCAGAAGAAGCTGGCATTCCTGTCATTCTGTCTCTTGTGGATACTGAATTTCACATCTTATAAGGAAATGCTACTTCCTATTATTCAATCTTCCCCCGCCCTATGAGGTGTATTATTGGAATCTCACCCACAGACAAAGGCAGTGAGACTCATAGAGAGTGTGGAGTTTATCCCAGGATGCACAGACTTGAGTGACAACGCCCAGACCCACACAACTGTCTCACGGTTCCAAGAGTGAACTCTGTCCTGAATCAAAGCTGCTGCTACATCAGCATGACCTGGTGAACAGCCTCCCTTGCAGCAAGATAACAATGCAGGATGCCGGGGCCTTGTCCTTCACAGGAGGCAGATGTCCTGGGCATCATGCATCACAGATTTTGCTTTGAATTCTCACCCTTCAGCTCTGAGTCTTTCCCATGAGGAAATGTAACCAGAGAGGTCAGCAAGAATCAAGGAAGGTGGACTGGGTTAATGGTGCACTGAAATTTTACTCACTTAAAGCATGAAATAAACTAGGGTTCCTCTACTCTGAACACTAATATCCTGAGTTAGAACACAGAGCCCTGCATAAGTCTCAATGATACCACAATCTATCTGATTTCTCATTCATTCATTCATTCATTCTCCAAACATTGATTTTAAAAATCTCCCATTTGTTAGTGATCCTGCCAACATCTCGGAAGTAATAATGAAAAACAGATCCAATCTGCAGGACGAGTGCATTGTAGTGAGAGCACGAAAAATAGACACACAGATAACTCAAACAAAACAGCATAGACTATGTAAAGGGCAATGAACAAGAAGACACTGTTGATGAGGCCACTGAAGGGTTAAGACTGACCTTACTCCAATCCTACCACCTACCACAGAGGCAAGGAATGCCATGAAATATTAACTATCACAGAAATGACAAGCTTGCTTTAAGAATAAATCATGCATTATCAAAAGGGGAACAAGCCAACCTCCCACACAGTCAGGCTAAGGGCCTTAGGGTTTCCACACACAGTTCTGACTGATGAGGTCCTCAATGCCTAGAGTTAAGGAGGAGTGGGAGAGCACCCCATATGACACAGGCCCTGGGGAAAGGAGGGCCTTCTCAGATAGGGCCGTCCCACGAGGAAATCATAAGGCGTGCCCATTCCACGGCTAAAACTCTTAAGTAGACAGTTCTCCCGGGTTCCTGGCTCTATGCATTGGTCTCCAGCTGTGCTTTCAACTCAAACAATGACCATGGGCTCTAAAAAGCAAGAGATGTTCAAATCCCCCAGCAAGGCAGACAGAATGGGCACGACTACCTTTGGCACCTTGTGTGAACCTGCCGTCCACACTCATAAGCTTCAGGAGCCCAGTTATATATGTACTTGAAGCCTTCACTCTGTCGTCCAATGTCCTGTCTGGAGGTATGCTAGCTTTAAAACCCCTCTGGGACAAATGCAATGTCTGCCTGCTACTACCTGCCCTCCAACCCTGCCTGGCTGGGGAATGTGGCCTAGCCAGGGTCTCATTTGCTCAGTTCTGTCACTAAGCCCCAGGCCTCCTGGTCATGTCCTTTTAGTTGCTGGAAGAAAATGGGAAAACTCATCCAGGCAGTTACTTCTCTTGTGATGTGCTGGCTGTTTCTCTTTCATGGGCCTCACCTAGATAAGAAGGCTTTATGTCATCACCATTTACCACTGTTCACCACTTTAGAGCACCAGGCTGGGTCCAGAGATAGGGAGGTGGGGGGAAGGCTGGAGAGGAGGTAGGGGGCTAGGAGGCATTATGGAAATAAAGGGAGGCTACCGCTTTTCAGGGTTCATGATTCAGAGGTAACGTAGCTCTTCCATACACAGGACATGAAGCTGAGCAGACCAGACCCATGTAAAATAAGCCACTCTCTATATAAGTGACTCAGAATCCCACTTAGGAGACACTTGGAAATTGCTCTTTTCCCTGATGTAGGTAAGAGCTAAGAAACTCTGAAAAGCACTCCATGCCTATTATGCTCATAAAGTTTTCATTGTTTATAAATCTAATGGTTTTCAAACTGCTATTTAGAACCCAGGTGGTGTTTCTAAGGTGTCCTGAAACTAATTCTCCACCTTGCCAATCCTGTCCAGTGAGTGGAAAAGGAATCTTTTCCTTCCACAATTTTATTTGATGAAAATGTCTTGTCACTTTAAAGAAAGCCAAACAAAACAATGAAACAACTTAGAAAACCACCACTGCAACCCAAGACTCTTAGAGCCTTGCTTTCTCTACATTTGTGGTGGCCCCAGTAAGAAAACCTTTTGAACCTGTGTTCTTCCCGTGGCTGAAGAATGTGTAGATGGAGCTGGCGTGATAGCTCAGCAGCCTAAAGCACCTGCTTAGGCAAACTTAGGCAAGTGCAGGGACCACAGTTCCATCCCTGGCACCACATGCTGCTCCAGCCCCACCCCCAGGGTGCACAGAGCTGGCCAGAGTCTGGGTGTGGTGGCACATGCAGGAGGATCACTCTGAGTCCAAGCCACATAGTGAGACCCTGCAATAACCAAATACATGAAAAAAAAAGAATAATTAAAGAATGTGTAGGAAATGCGAAATCAGGAGAAGTGTTTGCCTGTGCACAGCATTGCTAGGGCTGTTCTGAGAAACAGCTACTTTCTCAGGACACCTTGAGGGCGGACTGAATTCAAGGAAGATGACTTTTTTTTCCTGGTCTTACTCCAGGAACTGGAGCCTTTCAAAACCACATGACATCATCTTTGGCCTCGAGAACTTTGAATTAAGCCAGAGGCTCTGTCTGTCCAGAAAACGAGGGTTGATTCAGAGGATGTCTCGAAAATGATGTCAAAACCAGAATTTGATGTCAGAGCCTGATCCTTCCAGCAAGAAGATAAGTGACTCCTTCCAGGTTAGAAATCATGGTCCTGTCTCAATGAGTGGAAACAAGGGGGCTGCTAACCAGTACTCCTAGAAGGTCCTGACTGGGTGTCAACCTTTGAGTCTCGGATCAGATTGATTCAGCATACATCTCCCTTCTCCACCTTCTCTCCAAATATTTCATATTGGTTAGCCAAAGGGAAATCACTTTAGCACCCCACCCTCCATTGGCAGTTTCATCCAGTCTACCCTTGCAGCCCCCCAAGCTGGTCTCCAACACACTGCAGTCCGGGCTTCTTTAGCTCCTAGTAAACCCTTATCTTGTTTCACTATTGGTGATCCACATTCTAGTATGTTTGAAAAGAAAAGTTGGGGAGTTAACTGCAAAGAAAATGCCAGACTATCACTTTTTGAGGAATCAACTCTGTTCAATACATTCATGATCTGTAAATCTACAAATGAAGGTACTTTATACATTTTCAGCAAAGGCAGAAAAAGCAGAGACAAAATACACATAGTCATTAGTCATATGTTATAAAGACTTAAATAAAATTTCTGCTCTTCTTTTTTCTAAATTCAATTTGAGGGTTATGAAGGACTGTAATGAAATAATCCATAATCCACAATTCAAAACAGAAGGTTTGGAATAGTTTATAACCACAAACAAAAACAAGCCAATTAAGATGGCCTCTTTTTATAACCAGAAGGAATTCCAGAGAGATGTCTTTATCCAAGAGCAAGTTAACAGCAAAAAGAAGCACATCTACATATGTTATACTTGCAGTTTCTGACTGTTACTGGGTTTTTACATTATTCACATTTCTTCAACTATCTCATAAATTCACATACTTTTTCTCCAGAATCAGGTATTATCTCTGCTAGTAACTAAAATATCTGGTACAGCTCACACTAGGTACAAAGAATGACTGAAAGGTGCTATCAACAAAATCCAGTTATCAGATCCTTTTTCCAAAATATCACCCAACAGGTGGAAAACATTCCAAATATACATGAAATCGCTGGCACTGGAGGGTGCCGACATGACCATGTATGGACTCCGTTCCTCTCAGGATGCTACAGCCATTGGTACAAGTGCACAGAAAATTCTCAGCAAGTAAGAATCTCCAGAATGGCACGGTGACCCTGTGGAACTCATTTCTCCTGCTGCCTCAGTTTCCTCCCTTGTAAACTAAAGTTATGAACCGAAGCACAGCAAGCCTTCTTTTCTGTAGAGGCCAATTCAGAAAAAGTAGAACGGTAAGAATGCAGCACTTTCCCTCATTCCAAAGGGAAGTACCCAAGTCTCAGCTCACATGTATTTCACAGAGTAGAAAAATATTCATCAGAAATTTTGTGCTGCTCTTGAGCCTAAGAAATGTTAATATTCAAGATGTTGAGTAATGTTTCTAATAGTATCTATGTGCAACAAACTTCTAATATTTGATGCTTGTCTTGGATGAGGGTCTCATTTGAAATGAGGTTCCATGGAAGACACATAATTTGTTAATAACCATTACTGCCAACAGCTTTGAATTTACAATACTAGAACAGCATGAAAGAGAAGGATCCTCTGGTTCTCAGGTGCAGGACTACTAAGAGTTCATGTCTTGGTGTGAAGGTCCAAGACAACTATTTATACTTCAAAGCGCTTCACCAAAGTGCTTCACTAGGCTCCACTTCTTGAGTGGCCTTTGGGAGCTACTGATCGAGATGACACGAAGATGTCTGAGCTCTGAGTGACACAAGCCCACGCTCATTTCCACTACCACATAATCTCAACGATAAGTGTTTTCTACGAACTCTGATTGATGACAATCTAAAATGTTCTCAGACTTTGGGCATCACTGTACATCTCCTGCACGGACTTCAAAACTGAATCCTCACTGAACACCTCACAGTTTCCTCAGTCAGATTACACCAAGAGGAAAGTGCACTTTGTACTCTCAAGGCCCAGCACCTTAGGCACTGAAGGACTGTGGCAGATCTGTGCATCCGAATGGCCAACAGGAAGGAGGGAGGAGGGAAGAGAGGAGGGAAGGGCAGATGCTGTTCTGGTCATCCATGGCCCCATACCCCAGGGAAAGGATCAGAATCAGCATCCACAAAATATGCTGCTCTGGCATAAGGATCCCACGACCTCAAGGCAACTGAAAATTGATGCAACAAGAATCCACTGCCCTTCTCCTCTTCAAAGTAGCACAGATTTTCCTCTGTGAATGGACCCCTAAGCACAGTATCAGAAGGAAAAAAAGTGACTTTTATCACCAGAGACAGGAGTTGACAATCTTCTGTACAGCCCACTCCCCACAGCTTCTGAGATAATTCTGGGGTGCAGCCCCCTGGGGTTCTCCTCACTTGGAGTCAATGAGATGACTCTAAGTTCTCTGTAAGCCCTAAATGACACAAGCCTGCATTCGTTTCTGGCATTAATCACAGAGATAAGTAACTCTGTGATTGATGACAATCTAAAAAGTTCTCTGAAATCTAAAAGGCCCATCTTCTTTGCACCCTTCTCTGCAGAATTCCAGTCCTGGTCACTTGTCTCAGTCACCTAAGCTACCTTCATAGATTACTTGAGCTCTCCATGCTCCAGTTTTACTTGACATCTACACCCTGCCCTTGGCTGGCTTGCTCTAGAAGGCATGATGGTTCATGTCTAGTTCCCACCTACTCTTCCCAAACACACTCAAGTGACATCTGATCCATCGTGCCTTCCTTTACCTCTGCAGGGGAAAGCACTCCAGTGGCCACCCACTTGTGGGCATTCTGGCTGGGAATTACAACCAACCATCTTGCTTGAATGGTGAGCAACCCAAGGAGGGGCCAGAGCTGCTGCTGCCCATGTCTCCTCTCCCCCACTGTCTAACACAGGCCTTGCATGCAGCAGGCGCTCAGAACGTTGTCAGGTGACCTGCGAGTTATACGGCCACTCACTCATCTACTCATTTAATAAAGGAACATATACTACTTTTTTTTTTTTTAAATCAGACACCACAAATGCTTTGAAAGGTACCAAGTGTCTTCTGCATATTCTACATCAGTTTGCGGTTGCTTGGGTAAAATATCTTTATAAAGATACAGAAGATACAAAAGCAGGAAAAGTTGATTCTGCGAAATTTGTTGGCATTCTTCCTATCAGTGAGTAACAAAAAGTTCCTGAGTTTAAAAAGATGTTTCATAATATTGTGTAATATCATGCAGCTATCTGCAGTTGTACCTCATAAAAATGTGTACTTCTATTCTTAACATTAAAAGTTAGACTTAAAAGTCTGGGCTGTGAGGTTGACTTCCAAGTCTGTGAAACTGTTACCATCTTTTTCACATGGATGAAAACTATAATTAGCTTAAGATCTTGCAAAACTGTGACAGTGGCAGAGTCCCTATCTTGGTCCTATCAACAGATTCAACCAAGTGAAAAATTACAGTATGTATTTATATATATTTATTCTTATGTAAGGCACTTGATAAATGTTTCCACTGAATTCATATCTATAAAATACATACTTTACATGTATTTCACCATCATTCTCTATAAATATATAGTTCATACATTAAACTACTATCTTCTATGCAGTCACATCAAAGAAGTTTTAGTCAAAAATTTCTCCCGTAAATCCCAGATTATCTGAATCACATATTATTTCCAGCTTCTCCCACCCTAAACCCCTGACATCAAACCATTATATGAGTTTATGGAACGATATGTTTTATCTGGCAAGAAATGCTGATTATTGCATTGGAGCTAAAATAAATTTTATTTTCCTGACTTCCTGTCTCTTACTGTAATTTAACTATGGAACAGAGATATCCCAGATTACTTCTTAAGGAAAGAAAAAATAATTTCTTACTCAATTGCAGAAGAAACTGCATAACTTAATCTGATCATTGTGCGGAGGAAAAAAATATTTCCAGTGACGACATCTTCCTATGTCAATTGATTTTATTACAGATGTCATCTCTGTGTGCTATATTAATGCAGCTCTTTTTTCTTACTTCAATATCTTAATCTCACTTTGTTGCTCTAACATTTTATTGGTTCAGAATACATGCTGTAAAAATCCATGGCCATCAAATTTTCCTGTGGGCTAAAAATAACCCATTCCTGTCAGTTAGAATTAGCTGATAAAGAGTGTCACAGCCTGTTCTAAAGAAGTTTGATAACTTCCTGTTTATGCAGCACTGACCCTTGTCTAATAAAGCTTCTTTGCCCTAGAACGAGAGGAGATTCTGCTGCATTTTATTCCTTAATGGCCAATCCTGATTACTTTTGAAAGCCTTTAATACATTTCCCATATTAGACATGAACAGATGTCAGGTATGTTGCCAAGGGAAATCTCTTTTATGCAATCTTGGCTTGTTGTACAATAATAGCCCTTTCTCAACATGGGAAAAAATTACAGACCCAACTAATTTCCCTGACAGGGGAGAGTTACATATGTTTTCCACTTGTAGTTTTTACGACAAGTTTACAATTTTGCCAAACCTGGAACTAATTGGGACTGCTTCCAAATGCGGCCCAATAACCCCCCAAAAGTGTAGCCATTTGAAAAGGCAGTCCATGACAGTTTGCTTTCTCATTTCTCCATTTTGGCCGGGGGGTGGCGGGGGGGGGGGAGTCAGATTGCAAAAGTATTTCATTTAAGTTGCTTAAACACTTACTGTTTCATATCCTCCCAGTTTTTGAGCAGCTTGAAACATAGTCCAAAGGTTAACTGTTAGAGGGACAATAAGTATTTAGATAAGCATTGCATTAACATAGTTCCAAGAAATGTCAATTAAAACATTTTGTTTTTCCATTGAGAAAGAGAAAATAAAAGAAAGAAATACTAATATTACCCCAAAGAACTCAATTCTTAGGAAACAATTTGCCAAAGGGCACTGAACAGCAACATCTATTATTACCATTTAAATTATTTCTTAAGAAACAAGCCACTAAAGGACAGAGATGGTTTTACTCTTAGGATAGAGGACAACATGGTTTCTGCCTCATTGCCATTAGCAGAACAAGAGAAGCTAAGTTAGAGCAACCTTGGGGACATGGGGGAGATTTCAAAACCGGGGTTCCTTTTGTTTGTGGCGGTGGCAGTAAGATGTCTCCATAATCAACAAAGATCAGACACGCTAGCACGTGATACCATTCATACACTGTCTGGTGGCTGTAGCGTGTTCACGGCTTGCATCCTACCTCGCTACCCACACTGCTGCTTTGCCCTGAGGAGGGCAAAGAAGTGCCTCACGGGCGTGGCAGCGGTGCTGCGTGGAGCAAGGGGAAGGAAGACACTCACAGAGCCGTGGCAGCAGGAGACCACCTAGGCCCCTAACTTGCCTGTGTGATAGTGCAAATGCATGTTCTTCGATCGCATTCTTTCGGCAGAATTTGCCTATGTCTACGCTGTTAAACAACTACGCTCAGTTGCCAGCGATCTTGTTCATTTGTACCAAATACCACAGAATGCGACTGCTGCAAATGTGATTCTTTTCGTAAGAGGGGAAACTGAACTTCAAGTAATTCCTTGGTAAGGGAAACGAATGAAATGAAAATTAAAAGAAAAAAAAGGCTCTGACACACCACGCTCACAAAGCCTCATTGAACCTTGCACTATTTCAAAGCTATCAAGAGCCCTGCCTTGGCCTTGATTTAATCTGAACCAATGCATAATGCAACAAAGCTGTTCATAGTACATTAATTTTACTTCTATTTCAAGCAGCCAGTTTTCAGACAAACATTGTAATCATTCCTAGTTATATAAGTTTATAATGGCTGCAAGTGCTCTCATGCAATCAGTGCCAACCGCTATTAGGTATGTAAATTGTTATGTAAAACATACAGGTTTGACATTCTTCATCAAAGTGACACATGGTTTTAATCTAGGAAGATGCGATTGGAGAAAATACTATTTCAAGCCAGAGGCACATCACTGTGTGTACCACTAAAGCCAACAGGAAAATATATATTCAGTTGTCTGGGGCAAGACCTGATCTCTTGTGATGTGCAATTTTGCCCAGTTATGGATTTCCTGATACTTCAATATACATCTCAAAGGTATTAAAAACTAGGACCTCTGAGATCAAATTTTTGTTACCTGGCTTTTTTCTGGTTCCCCACCCCCACCCCCACTGGTGCTGGAACCCAGGGCCGTTGCCCTGGGCGACATTCCCAGTCCCACCCATCTTTTAAATTTTGACACAAGGTCTCCTTAAATTGCTAAATTGACCAGGCTAGGCTTGAATTTTCAATTCTTCCCTTTCAAATCAACCAGCATGCTGGTATTACAGGCCTGTGCTACCACGCCTGGCTAGATTTTTGTTATCTTTTAACAAATTTGGGGCTTTGGAAATGTGTTTTCTCTTTGCAATTGTTTGGTCCACCTCTAAAGGCCTTTCTTGTAAAAGCTGTCTTTTCACAGGCAACGTCTGTGCCTGATAAGGCCGCATCACATTGTTGTCTCACAAGAAAGGCGTCACAGACCCTCGAGGTTGACAAAACAGAAAAACGCAAAACTTTCAACATGTCTATTTCCAGTCATAATCAGTGGATTTAAGCCTATAAATATCTCACTGCAACTGTCCCAGAAGGGAACAATGTAGCGGAAAGAGGCAGGGAAAAAATTCTTGGCTAGGACAATTTGTAGATTTAGTATAAACAGAGAACATCATCAGCCCAGATTAGAATTTCAACATAATCCTAAATCAAAAAGAAATGTTTTTCCCCAATTCAAAGAATCTGAGCAATTTTGATATTTCAGAAATGAAAACAAGTATACTTACTCTGTTTGAAACCTAAATAGGGTATTCTTTCTATTGGTGTTTTCCTTTCTTTCATGTACTTATAAAGCGCCACCAGGAAGGCCTGCTCATCCGCCCTGCACTCTTCACCAACGGCCAGCTTTGGTTTGTCTTCATTTGAGACTTTTTTACAGTTATTATGGTTATTCTTCGGCTTGGCCAAGGCTGACCTGGCCTCACATTTCACCTAGAAAACAGAAAACACAGCACATGAACTCAGGCACAGTCTGAGAAAGTTTATGAAGACAAGGCAGGAGAAACTTCCCACTGTGTGGGAAGGAGGAGCCAGCAAGGACAGGCCTGCCTTGGAATACTCCTTAGAGGCATCATTGAACATGAACTGTCCTAGATCGTGAGATGGCAAATTTCTGTCAACAGCCACCTAGAAATTATACTAAGCCTTTGGTATTTATGGTCTCAGTTACTACTGCTTAACTGTAGAATGAGAGTGTGTAAGTGAATGAGTACAATTATGTTCCAATAAAACTTTATTGACAAACTTTACTGACACTGCTAATGTGCAGGTTTTTTTAGACTCCTTCCAAGCCTATTGACATGAAAGCAGAAATACTGTTTCTATCTGGTAGGAACATTGTTCTGCTTCTTTACAAATCTTATGTTCCTAAAGGCATCATTGGTTAACATCCTGAGCAAACGTTGCCTTCTTTATAGTCTCATACGTTTTGCATCAAAATGAATGGTATGTTTATTTCTTCATTGTAAACTTATCTTGCTGGTACTTTTGTCAGCAACTTGGGAAAACCTGTCAGTGCCAGCAAATACTGGGACCGGGAATATCAGCCAGGCCGGTGCTGCCTGTCACCTGAAGGAGATGCTCAAGCCCATGCTCAGTAGGGAACAGACGGTCTCCTGCTTTAATGAGTGACTTCTTGCTTTTCGGCCGGATCTGAGAATCTAACAGCAGGCATTCACTTGCCACAAAAGGAAGAGTAGAGGTCAGCGAAGGCCTCAAGAAGACTCCATGAAAAGCTCTAAAATTAAGAAATAAGTGGTGGCGAGTGCTCCAGATGTTCTTCTTCCCCACTACAGGCGGGCATGGGACTCAGCGTGTGGAGCCGGCTAACCTAATGTTCCCTCCCCACTGCCATGTGCTACAAGAGCCTTTGATGGTTGTTAAATATAACGCTAAGTTGCTGAGCTATTTTAATTGTAAAAGGGGAAAGTACAAAGGGTCAGCCTCGGAGTCCGAGTCCGCATCCAACCTCGGACAGGAGGAGGGCAAGTGCTGGGGAAATGGCCTGAATAAAAGTATCCCACCGATTCCGCCATGTTCTGCATTTCAGGTTTTTTACCTCCTCTTTCTTTTACTGCAGATCATCATTCCAAACCCTACAAACATGAAAGATGCTGCTTATTTATCAAAGGGCAGGCCATGCCCCGTGAGCATCTTCTTGACTTCTCATTCTCTGAAGTGGACGCACTAGCTTAGCATCTGTCCACTGGTCCTGGCCAAATGGAGCTTCCTGCACAGTTTACTTATCAGGGCTCCGCAGAAAGGTTTCAATTTTGGGGAACTGTGAAATGGGATTAAAATTCTTTTTCACATGTAGAATTTTACTTACAATGCTTTAAAACTTCAGTGCTTCCTGACATTAGATGAAAGCAGGCATCCCATGAAACTGTGTTGTCATCTTCATGGTCAGTTCTAGACTACGAGGTCTAAATTAGGATGAAATTTATAATCTAATGGCTTTTCAAAATCTAACGCCTTGCGAGTTTTAACCCGTACTGCCTTCCTGGCCTTGCTCAGTGTTTGCCAGGCAGCCAGGCGTGCTTGCAAGCGATGCCCAGGTGCTAATTACCTCATTTCCTACTCAGAGTAGTAACGAGGTGGGCTGTTATTCTCATATTAGAAATGACGAAGACAAAGGACAGATAGAAGGAGCAAATGCACAAGGTCCTAAGATCAGGGACAAGCTTGGAAGAGATGAGACTGCAGATCGATCCCAGGGAAGGTTTGCTCTAGGGTTTGTAGTTCTGAGCTATGCTCTACTGAAACTCTTAATAAGAATGCTACTTTGGTCATCAAAACAAACTTGCAATTAAAAGGCCTGTCTCACTAACGAGCTGGATCAGACCTCCTGCTTACGAGTGTGGTTTGTCCAATGATATGCACACAGGCAGGGTGAGCCCAGGAAGGAAGCTGATCTCACTGCAGCACTTGCAGTGCACTAGAGGAAGGACAGTGGGCTTCACAGAGGTGACCGCAGTGTCCACAAGAATTGCAGAAGAAAAATTTAACCCCAGCAGAGGAAATTACAGCTTGGCGAGGTCATGCATCTTGTCATATGGCTGATGAGGGGCAGGTGTCTGGGTCTGGAACTCATGTCTGCCTCACCCTAAAGCCACATCTCACATAAACAACAGTAGAGCTAAGGGATGTGTACAGAATGGGTCGAGGCTTAACTTGTGGTGCTAAAGGGCCACTTAGCCCATTACTAGGATCACAGTGCTAGCAACAAAGGAATATGGGGCTGCTCATCAGTGTCCAGATAGTTGCTTAACCCCTGCCTTAACACCTAGAAATACCAAGAAAGCATACAGGGGTGCATAAACCATGTCCAAAGTAACTGGGACTCCCTGCTCCACAGCAAAGGCTCCAAGTGATGCCAGGCTGCCACCTACTGAATTCAGTGTTGAATTCCAGTGGCTTCCCAGCAGGCCTCTCCCAGGGAGGCCAGAAGCTTGGCAAGAACTGAACAATGGCTTTCTATTTTGAGCTATCTTGACGCATTTTTTTCAGTTAACATAAGTGCGTTCTTTAGGGTATTATTCAGTTTCTGGGCAGAATGCAAATTTTTTCCTACATTTTTTTTCCACGTATACCCAAAACATTGTCAGTATTTTAATGTACTGAATTAGTATAATGTAGGTGTCAATGGAAATAAGAACCTTCATGTTGACGTTGAGAAAGACCAACATTTTGATGGTGACCAGTAATTACTAGAACTGCTTCTCTGGACCTGAACACCACACACCTGTTGAGTACACCAAGTGTTCTGGGGTTTCCAAAGAGATTGAGGAAGTGCTAATTAGAGAATCTACATTTAATGTTTTCATTTTCAGTGAACCACCATGCATTTGATATAAACCACATCCTGCCACAGGATTCAGTTACAAGTGATCCAGTCTTCAACTAGGGCACAAAGATGTGTTGCACCAGCAACCAGACAGAGCTCCAATCTTGGTTTGGTCACTAACTTACGAGGTGACCCCAGGTTCCTCCTTGGTAAAATACAAAGGACCATCCCTGGGGATAGCTGAGAACCAAATGAGATGAAAAACACTTAGAGTATCACATCTGTGAAATATCGAAGTATGTCTGTGATTTAAGTGAATGAACATATTGCACACCATAGCTTCCTTCCTTAATGTTCCTTTTAGAATGTAAACCACCTGCTATATACTTCTGGTCTTTCAAAAATGGTTATAAAATATGAGAAGTCATTCACTTTCTATCAATATAGGCCTTTGATTAGGGACATAGGCTGGGACGATTTCTCTGTCACACATCACCCCATGATCAAGCCTGGGCTGCAGTCTGCTGCTCTAAGATGATCCCAGGAAAACAGCAAGACTGATTCTCAGAGAGCCAGTATTTTTCTCCTCATGTGACTTCTGCTGTTTGGGGAAAGTCACCAGAGTCCTCTCTCTCAGAAAAGAGCATCTCACAAAGCTGTTGTCATGCGAGAAGGTGTAACCTTTGGGTAGAGATAGGCAGATTCTCAGTCACCCACACAACAAGCCCAGAGGGTCCACTCGAGGAGCTTTGTTACACAGAGCTGCAGGAAGCCAGTACTTATCTGTAGTTAGAAATGGTCTATCTGAGACATTTTTGAGAAAAAAAATGATCATGTGGGTCTTAAAGTCAAACAGTTCACTGTCACCTAAAACGTCCTCCAGCTCAGCAAATGACAGAATGGTCCCAGGCTCATAATCTCTGATGTAGCATTTCACAGCAAAAGGCTACTGTAAGATGCAAGTGCCTTTGCCTTTTTTGTAGTTGTCTTGGTCTCGGATGTGTTCATTTGGTAGGATGGTTTTCTTCTGGTACTGGCAATTCAATTCAGGACCTTGTGCTTGCCAGGCAGGTGCCTCGCCACTGAGCTATCTCCCCAGGGACTGAAGGGTTTTTCTGACAGATGTCAACAGAGAAGTTCACTATATTTCAAACCCATAGTCTTTTCCAGCTGGTTCAAATGGTTTCATCAGACTTTCCAGAAGTGTTCAAGGCAGAATTGTAATCCAAGTCTCCAGAAAAAGCCAAGCCATTAGACCAGTGCCCAGGAACTGGCTGCAGAGAGACACTCACTGCTGAGCATTAACAGCATGGGGATGATCTGTCTCCTCATAAATGTTCTGAATGGAAGCTCTGGGAGTAGGCAGTGGGGCGAAGACGCTGAGTAGAAAGCTCTGGCTTGTCTTTACTCGGGCCTACAGATCATTCAGAAGACATGGAACGCAGCCCACCAACAGAGCAGGTTCCTGCTTTCTTCACTTTTGTAAGCCTGAGTGTGACTCAAGAGCTGTCATCCATCCATGGAGAGAAACACTGCTGTTTTTTCAGATCAGTTTTATGAGTTTTATAAGTTTCCAGGAGGCAAACCTTGGTAGTGGTCCCAAACGCCAAGGGAAGCCGTGTCACGCCTCTGGGCTCAGGCACAGCACATGGTGGAGTACACAGATGATGTGACCCAGAGATAGGCCCTGCCCCAACAAAGGAGCGGGCAGTACAATCTCTGCGGTATCCCTGCTGCACCCTAAAACCTCCTTTTTGTTCTCTGGATCCAAGCGGTGTGAAGAAATCCTAATAAAAAATGCTCAGAACTTTTAGATAAAGCAATCGCACTGAAGATTAAGACATGTAGAATGTAAATGTCTAGGATTTAGTCCGCTATACTAGGAGGGGCGGGAGTATAGGGAGAATAGTATACCATCCACCCAGAACTGAATTCATTGTTTTCTTCTAAATTATAGTCTCCCAAATTCACCAATATTCAAAATGCTCCCGTTTCCAGGTTATTTCTGAGCTCTGGAAATATGTCGGTTCAGTTCTGGCATTTGATTCAGGTCCTAAGTGGACTCTTGCTGTCTTGGGCTCCGCAACAACACCCCCACACAACACTGAACAACCGGAATGGGGAACACCGTCCCAAGTCCACGAAAGTCCAAAAGATAAGTCCTAAAATACAGAGTCACATTTGACTTTCTGTGGTGCTAAATACTTCAGGCACACACTTTCAAGATTCCAAAGAGTGCTTCGGCAAAATGGGAGTGGGCCCAATTAGTCTAGAAACGAAGCTTTTATTCTGCATTAGTAGAGATTTTAAAAACACATCAACATGTGCATATATCTATAAATGCTATGTATCTCTAATTTTACTCTAATGTGAGCGAGGTGACTTTGAAAAGCACATAACGCAAAAAGCTTGATTCCAGCTATTTCTAATTTCTTCCTCTGCTAATCTCTGAGACATATTTAGATGAGCACACTCAGAAAGAGGATGGTTCAGCTGGTCTATTTTTGATACAAGCAGAGTAAACTATGTCATTGTGTCACCTACTATGAAATCTCAGCCTCAGTGATGAGCGAGCTTAATCATCCCCGCTTTACCCAACAGGCCAAACATGGGGGCGGGGCGCCTTTCTGTTGACTAATCACAAAGCCCGCCTCCCGCCACCCCCAGCCACCGGGGAATGGGGGTGGAGGCAGGAACAGGCACAGCTCAGGGCTTCAAAAGATCTGCATACCAAAGTCTGTTTCTCAATTGAAAAGTGCCACCAAGCCACAAAAGCAGAGAAGCAAAACGCTGCAGCTTTCTTAGTGATTGTTGACCTTACCTTGGTAACAGCTTTACCATCGGAATTGTTGTTGGAATCCTTCACTCCACTGAAGGAATCTCTTCTCTGTGGGCACGGTTTCTTTTTGCGTGGCCTGCCTTTAAGATTTGGCGCTGAAAACAAACAGAATAATGGATATACATTTTCGTTGCACAGGTTGCCTTAGTAAAGACCCTCAGTCTCACTACAGAGGTCTTCACCAATCATTGAGGGACATATCTGGCGCAGCCACTTTTCATTAGATGCTTCTCTCTCTGAAGTGAAGGGGTACACCTTGGTCCTACCAGCATGCAGCACTCCCTACAAGTTTTCCAGGGCTGAGCTCTCATTCTTTATCATGTCTAATGAATACAGACAAAATGGAGCTCAAAGGGTGATAAGGAAAAATCTCCTCCCCGCTGTTAGAAAAGAATCCTTTGGGGCAGAAAGCCAACACTGAACCAGGCTCTGAGATCTTTCCTTAGATTTTGTTTCTATCTTGTTTTTCCGAAACCTAAGAGATACACTGGCCCATCATGGTATCAGAGGAATGTAATGTCTGAAAATATGTCCCTTTGAGAGTAGCTGGAGCCAGAACCATTTTCTCAAATTATCATACAGATCAAGGAGAGGGAGGGAGGGAGGGAGGAAGGGAAGGAGGGAGGGAGGGAGAGAGAGAGAGAGAGAGAGAGAGAGAGAGAGAGAGAGAGAGAGAGAGAGACTGAGCGAAGCGTGAATAATAAGCCATAAAGCCTTACTGCATGTATTTACTAATAAACTTCCAACCAGCATGTTTCAGGTCTCAAAAAACCTGACAGATATATTTAGATCCGCATGCTTTCTTTCCTCCTTACTATATTTTTACGAAGATCCGGAGGGTTATATGACATACATTCCCAAGATTGCACCGGGGCAGCCTCATTCCACTGGGGTTATACGTTTTTAAAGCTGTAGACAGATGCAAATCGGAGCTGCATTTCATCCCTGATGTTCAGCGGGGCTCCTTGTAAGCTCTCCAAGGAAACGGGAGGCTGTTTATTCGGCGCTGTGATTGTCCCGCAGCGACTTACACATCTAACTTCACTCACTGAGTCCAGCACCATTAAAACCCACCCACCAGCCAAGCAGCCCTCGAACAACTCCAAGCTAATGAATGTGACCTCAAACAATTTCTGCAGTCACTTTCGAGGTACCCGCACGTTTGGTCCCTTTAAGGAATGATTACGACACTGATATCTGAACAACACAATCCCTCTCCCCAGTGGCTTTGGGACAGTTTACACGGCATTCATTTTCCTCACTCAATCTCGCTAATTCGATTTTCTAACGCGGATAGTTTTGCTGTCGGTGCCGCTCAGTAAGGCAGCTGCCTTTGTAATCAGAGAGGCAGCAAAGCCCGAAAGTTTGAGAGCCCTTTCGGAGGCTGGGACTCGCCTTCCCAAGCCGCTGAAAGTCCGTCCCGGAATCCGCCCGAGCCCTCCACGGTAAACAAGCTCACCCACAAACCCGAGCAAAGAGAAAGCAGGATTACCCATTCCAGGCGACACACCTCTGCCGGGCGGCCGTCGGCGCTCACGCGGCGGCGCCCCCGCTCGGCCCCGGGCCCCGGGCGTCCTGGGCTGC